CCCCAAAACCCCAAAACCCCAAAACCCCAATGGGAAGAATAAACTATTAAATGAATAAAAAGAGAATGAATTAGTTAGTTGAAAATTATTAAAGTTAAGTAAATATTTTAAATTATAACTATCGAATGGAATAATTTCACGACGAATCAGATAACATCTAAACTGGAACTGGCAGCATTGAGATAGCTCACACCACTCCTGATGACTTGTAAGACCTTAGCCTCAAGAAGCTCGATCCTTCCCTCATGAAAGCACTCAAATTGTTCGCCAAAAATCATTAGTAACTTGAAAAAGCATAAGATCCAAACAGAGGAATTCACAGAAGAATTTTATCGCAAGATGGCAGATCTAACAACCAAAATATTTGAGCGTCAACTCACGAGAAAATGGGCGTAGCCATACCTGCAGGACCCAAATATTATAATAAGCTCGTGGAAAAGGAGCTAGAAATATACAAGCGCGAAGTAGAGGACAAATTTAAGAACTCTTACATGAATAACACTTACCAGTTTCCCTGAAAATAGCAATAACAATACTGCAGAACAGGTCCAGACCGATCAACTGAAAGAGATGGAAACATTAGTGTTTTAATGGGAAAGAATTCAGATCTATAGCCTACTTTTAATCAACAATTATCAAGTCTTGCTAGAGATAAAAGAAAAGAGAAAAAGAAGAAGCAGGATGTAGCATCGAGTAAAACCTTTGATAAAACTCCATTTATTGATTCAGAATAAGCAAGGAATTTGGACAAAATCATGATGAATACTTAATCAAAGAGTTTTATGAACAGTCCAAAATTAGATAAAGTTCACAATCATAACAAAACATTTATTGGAACTGATACATTAAAACATTAATATGCAAAGAAGGATAGAGTTTTCAGTTAAACTCAGGAGAGCAAAATTAATTAAGGGACAACAAACTATTAATAATATTAATTGAACTATGCATTCAATAAAAATGGCTAGTAAACTCCTCAAAATCCAAGTAAAATAGAGCACAACAGTATAGTAATTAACAAGCCAATAGTCATTTAATTTTAAAACAAGAAGATAACATTTGTTAACAATTAGAAATCTAGTAAAAATAAAAATACCAATAAGACATAAATGTTTTACTAGACTGCAGCTTAGCGGAGTCCTCGCAATTAATCATAGTAGCATTATGAGGATCATTATTCGGGTAATAATTCTACAACTAATAATGGATAGATAGTATATCCCAAAGATCTGGTAAAAATAGCTCGATCTAAAAATCAACACAGAGCAAATAATTCAATAAATGGGAATAAGCACCAAGTAAACCAAATTCTTAATCAAATTTTACAATACCAAGAAACAAACTAAAAATAGGAAATGAGCAGTAATGAGTACAATAATCAAGTTCAATTTTACCCAACAGTACCGACTAATCAAAGCAATTAAAACTATCAGAGTTAGCAATAGAATCAAAATAATATGAACAATATCCCTAAATAAATTAGCAGGACTCAAGATTAAAGAAAGACAAACTAGAATAACTTAGACTATAGCAATCTATCCAGCGAGGATTAAATGAATATGTCATTTTTCAACGGCAATCTTAATAACTCTTTTGCATTACCATTAAATTAGTACCGTCCAAAGGTTCAAACAGGCAAAAAGGTTATACTAAGTAAGCTGACATAAAAATCTCAAAGAGTAGGCTAAATTAAAACTAGCAAAAACAATCCAATTAACTACTCCTTATATTAAAGAGAAATTCCTACCAAAATTTTTCCAGAAAATAATAGAGTGCTCAACCCAACAATTAGAAGCAATTCCAAAAGTAATATGTAGCGCTAAGCTCTATAGAAGCTTTAAACAGCCACTAACAGTCTTAGAAACTCATTTGTAGGAGATAAGTATTCAGCAGGTTACAGTGGAGGAGCTGGAGGTGGAATTTTAAGATAATCAGACTTAATATAGAGAAATTAAGGCAGCTCATCTCGTGCTGTTAATAAATACGCTATATTGAAGCATATCAATAATGTCACTTCCCCTAATTGATTTTAAATTGGCATGGACTCAAATGAATGTGTGAACTTTGTTAAATTATTAGAATTTTAATGAGTTTAAGAATATTTATTTACTAATATTAAGCATAATTGCATCTAATCATATTTGCATATAATAACTTTTATTTCACTAAATTTTAATTCTCATAAATCTGCATTTTACTACAGATTTATTGTGATGGGGTTTTGGGGTTTTGGGGTTTTGGGG